CCCTCTGCCTGCTACCTGCAGATCACGATGCAAAGCTCTCAGCTACTACACCAGTACCTGTCTGCTTCCTGACACGATGGCAAGGAACTAACCCTCTAAAATGGTAAGCAAGCTCCAGATTGTTTTCTTGTATGAGTTACCTTGGTCATGGTGTCTCTTCACAGCAATACAACAGTAACTAAGACAGCACCCAAAGTCAAAAGTCAACAAGATTTTTGTAATCACAGCTGCCATTGTGTGATAATTTGGAAGGTCCAGTCTTCCAACCTTAGTCAAAGAACCCAGGGTTTCTGTATTAAACACACAACGATGAAGGTTGCAGTGCTGACTAGTTAGTATCTGTCAGCTTGACACAAACTATTGTCACCTTGGAAGGGGACCTCAATTTTATGGAAGAATTGCCTCCATAAAATTGGCTGGTAAGCATGTCTGAAGGATATTTTCTTTATTAATGATCAAGGTGGGGGGTGATACCCCTGGACAGGTGGTCCTGGATTGTATAAGAAAGCAAGCAGGGCAAAGCATGAGAATCAAGCCATGATCTCCTTCAGTTCCTACCTTGAGTTCCTGCCCCGGCTTCCCTCAATGATGACTGTAATCTGAAAGGTAGAATAAACCCTCTCCTCCCCAAGTTGCTTTTAGTAATGGTGTTTACCATGGTAACAGAGAAGCAAATCAATACAAAGTTAATTTTCATCTGGGCAGCTGTGGCTGGAAAAGCCAGCGCAGGGATAGAGACACTAGAAGGTGGGCTGCCAGTCTCAGATGAAAACAGTCTCCTGATTCCTGCAACAAATCCATGGGATAGGCAAGCAGTAGACATCTCTCTGTAGAAGGTACTCCCTGAGGCTGCTTCACGGAGGATGTTGCACCTATCAGACTCATTTCTTGTAAGCCCACACTGATTCAAGCAAATCAAATGTAAAGAAGTAAATGAGCATATTTACAGGGAATTTGTGCATACTGACTTCTGGAGGAAATTCTTTTCTAAGTACAATTACACTGTTAAAACCATCAAGAGTCATAGTCACAACTGGCACTTAATAGAAAACAACATGTGGAAACATGAATATAAAATATTCTAAACACAGAATTGACTTTAACCAAATGGTCAACCTCAACATTGCCAATCTTAGACAATACTTCCCACTGACCCATGAGCTATCAGCTGATCTGGCAATGGTGCTGATGGACATCTGTCTGCCTCTCTGCTTTGGTGTTTCACTTCAATGGAATGTGTAGATACGCCACTAACCAAAACCATCTTTGAAATCAGCTCTCAAAAGAGAGGGCCTGGTGCATGGCCGTAACACAGGATCCAATGTGTCCAAAATTAATTAAGGTGTATATTATTCTCGAAATATACAGGTCCAGCTTTTGTATTTCTTTCATATGAGCTGAGCAGCTGAAGCCAAAACATTGGAGTTTGGTCCTCACTTCTGTCCCATTTGTTCCCAAAGTATGGAGATATCCCTTTAAAGGACTGTTTTTACGACAATACCAAGATACCAGTTATCTTTCCTGTGGCAGCATTCGTATTCACTATAGAATGCATATGTATCTTTAATTGGTATTATATGTAACAGATGGCATTGTGTCTTTCTGGAAAAAAAATCTGTGAGCTTGGAAGGGTGGGCAGCAGTTATTAGCAGATGTGGCTGCACCTGATATTGCCTAAGGAAATGCTCTTGTCTACATTTGGAAGATCCACATAAACCAGGGTACATGCTTTCAAAGAGACCAATGTATTATGTCACAAAATCATATGGGTAAAAATTCTATGAACAGGGCAAGGCTTTAAAGGCCAGGGGGTCTTCATGAAACACTACGAAATAGTTTACTAAAAAGTTGCCAGATCCCACATTGTAACTAACTCTTGGATATTGACTGTAGAAGGGTTGTCATGAGCCTCTTATTTACAATTAAAGTCATTACAGAGCTAGTTAATGTTGTTTCTCTTGGTCTCACAAATGTAAACAATACATCTTAGCCTGTGCATTTTCTGAATGCATCTCCAAGATGTGTCTCTAAGTATTAAACAAGTGTCATGTATACTCTTATCATCATCGTTGTGGTGATTTGAAAGAAAATGGCCTCCAAAGGAAGTGGCACTATTAGGAGATGTGGTCTTGTTGGAGGAAGTGTGTCATGTCAGTGTGGAGGCAGCTTTGAGGTCTCATATATGCTTAAGATAACTCCCAGTATCTCAGATCACTTCTTGTTGCCTGCAATATGTAGGACTCAAAGCTACTTCTCTGGCACCTTATCTGCCTACACATTGCCATGTCCCACCATGAATTTCTGAACTGTAAGCCACCACAATTAAATATTTTCTTTGTAAGAGTTGCCGTTGTCATGGTGTCTCTCCACAGCAACAGAAAGTCTAACTAAGACTGAAGTTGGTGCCAGGGACTGGAGTATTGCTGTGATAGATTGGAGCATGTTTTTGTTTGGAATAATGGACTTTGGAAGTTTAGGTTAGGAAAGAAATGGAATGCTTTAAGCACTGCTTAATGGGCCATACTAGGAGAATGGAAGACATTGATGCTAAGAGTTCTTTGAACTTCAGGGCTTGGCTCAAGAGGTTTCAGAGGATAATATGTTATCACATGGTCTAAAGACCCTTGTAATATTTTAGTGACTGCTTTTTGCCCTCGTCCAGGGAGTCTGCCTAAGGCTAAAGTGAAGAGTTTTTTCATTAATTCCCTTGGCAGAGGAAATCTCAAACAGCCTAGTATGAACCCTGTCATGTTATTATTAGTAGTAACTTTGAAGATTTATAATGAATGGGAACAAACTGAGAAAATAAAACAAGATGTACAGATTGAGAAAGGGGGCACTAGGAAGTGGAATAAAGCTAAACCCTGTGTTCAAGGAAATAAACAGATAAAGAATTAGGAGACACGAAGTGGTGATTTCAGGGCAGGATCCCGGCCAGCTCAGTTTCCAACTTGTGAAAAGGAATTAAAGAAAAGATGAAAGCTGGGTGTGGTGGGGCACACCTTTAATTCCAGCATTTGAATTCAGATTTTGAGGCCACACTGCTTTACAGAGCAAATTCAAAAACAGCCAAGCTTGGGCAGTGAAGGAAAGAAAGATGGTGAAGATGTACAAGAATGAGGGGGCCATGTTCCAGCCCCAGCAAGCAGGAGAACATGGCATCTTCAGCCACATGGTCTGGCTTCAGAGTGAAGGAAAGAAGAAAGGCATTGTAGAGCCTTTCCCAGAGACTAAGGAAAGTCACTGAGGCCAGGCATCTGTCAGGGGTGTACTTGAATGAAGGCCTAGAGAGGTCATGTGTGAAGTTGTCAGTTGAAGCGTGGATTGCCTGGGAAATCCTCAACATGTTCGAGATGGCAGACCTGGGATTTACCTACCTAAGAGAGCTGCTAACAGGGAATGGAATCATCCCAAGAAAGTGAAGTGTGTTACAGTCAACAAAGCTGAAAGGACTTAGAGATGTGAAGAACATTTTGACATCAGACAAGGAGATGGAGAGTTTGGGGTTTGCACAGCTGGTTTTCAGTCTTACTTTAGTCCAGTATTTCCTCACTATGCTCCCCTCCCTACATTTTAGAATGGTAATGTATATCCTGTGGCATTTTATGTTGGAAGTATGTGAAGTGCATTATTTTGATTTTACAAAGGATTCCAATAAGAGATTGCATGAATCTAAGAAGAGACCTTGAACTTTGCATTTTTAAATAAGTTTGATACTGCTATAGACTATGAGGACTTTCTTTTTAAGATTCATTTATTTATGTATAGTGTTGTCTGCATGTATGCCTGCAGGCCAGAGAGGGCACCTTATCTCATTGCAGATGATTGTGAGTCTCCATTTAGTTGCTGGGAATCGAAGTCAGGACCTTTGGTAGAGTAGGCAGTGCTCTTAACCACTTGGCCATCTCTCTAGCCAACTATAGCAAATTTTGAAGTTAGACCAAAAGCATTTTTCCATTATGATATGGCTACAAAAGTTTGGAGACCAGGAAGTGGAATGAGGTGGTTTGAAAGAAAATGACGCCCCAAAATCTATGTCACTTGTTGGAAGTGCTCTTAACCACTGAGGCCTGTTTCCTTAAGGAGTCAGTCTCCTGAAACCTGATTCTTCCCACATTCAAAAGTGCAGAGCCAAAGTACTGTTTGCCTTTAACAGTGACGTTAGCTTAGACCATCTGCTTACACTGTATCCGTGCCAACAGCACACAGAGATCAGATCAGACCAGACAGTGGTAACTACAGGCAAAACATTTATTGTAAATACCATTAGGTTCTAGATGAGGAATAAGGATGAAACACCAGGGTCTTTATACGAAGAGTCTGGAAAACACAGAGTCATGGAGAGTAATTTCTGAAAGCAATCTATGAATGTCATTTTGGTCCACTAGGTCTGATCACCATAACTTGTTTCTATGCATTGATTTTTCACCACTGATTGGGCCTGTCTTATAAGAAAGAACTCAGAGCATGACTCCTGGCTTCCCAGGTTAGCTCTTCAGAAGGCCTCCATGTGCAGATGCCAGTAAGGATTCGTGTGTGCATTGACCCTCACTGTGTAGCTAACGGTCTTCTTGTCTGGAGTTTGGATTTCCCCTCTGAGAAGTCAGAGCTCTGATACGGAAGCCACTCAGAGGATGAGAACTGATCCATAACTCATTATGGAGCTGGCAGCACTTCAAACCAAATCTCCCCCAGCATCTTAGGTTTTTGAGAGGAAGGACCACCTCACTGTCCTGAGGAAGGATGCTGCCACGAGAGCTCTTCTCTAGAAGAAAATGGAATGGCTCCAATTGTGCATCAACCATCCCAACAGACAATGGGGTCTTTGGGTATGGGATCTTAGGATTGAGTCAATTAAGGGAAGGCAGCACAGCCGTTCCTCCCCTTCTCAGCCTGGAATATGTTTTCAGAGGTGAAGAAATAAGAAATTTAATAGACTACTTCTATACATTCACAAAATTTCTTCCAAATCAACAGAGTTTAGTAAAATGGGGAAAGAATTTATGTTAATGTTTTATTCAACAATTTAAAACCTTTCCAAAGATTATATCCTAGGAGAATTTCAGATGGGAAGGACCAAATGGCATCATGAATGGCATCAATGCTTCACTGCTTTCTGTCCATGGAGCTTCATTGGAGGAATCCCGCCGATGAGCCACTCCATGGCCTTACATATCAGATGTGGACAGTCCATCCCTCCCTTCTTGCTCTAGAGGAGCCTGCAGGGAACTGGCATTTTTAAGGGTCAGAAGGAGCTTGCTGGCCATCCTGGGACAGGTCAGAGTCAGGATCCTGCAGCCACTGTCTAGTTAGTTGATAATGTCAGGCAGCCTTGATTCTTGGTTTACTGCAGCAGGATCAGGAAGACATACTGGTGACCTCAGCCAAATCTGTACAAAGTCTGCATTGATTTCTGCCAGTATCTGAAGGGGACCCCAAGTCCACGGTCAGCATCCCCTGATCACTCCTCCCTGCAACTAGAAGGGGGAGGGGTGCTTGTCTGTCTTCACATTTCACACACCTGACTGCACACTTGACATTCATGGGTGGGTTTTCATTTTCTAGTATATGTTTCATAATTGCACCCAGGACAATCTACTCTAAGGTAATAATTCAATGAGAATCACCCATATTTCAAATATCTTCAGCTTGTAAGGATCCTGTTGGGCAAACTTCACTGTACAGTGCTGTTGGGCTTCTTGTAAAAAGAGGAATCTCTGTGGAGATGACTGTTTCCCGAGTCAGGGAACACGTGGAAAGAGTCAACTGTGATCACTTTAGTCTAAGCACAGGGAGATGGGAGCTGGTGGTCTGTCAGCCAAGAGGGTCTCACGTTTCCTTTTCAAGCTTTAGGATTAAACATCCACCCCTAAGCAGAGCACACCTACAGCCTCCATGAACTGGCTGCAGGTGCATTTTCCCTGAGCCAGTGTTTATATTTTGGGCAGCTTATTATTCATCCAGTCAGCAACTATGGTAGCCACCTCCTGGTTAAAGCCAAGGACAAAAGCATGTGATATTCCTTTCTCACAGAGTCGGATATCGCCTTCGGGAAAATCTTTCTTCATGTCTTCATAGTACTTTACTGGACACCAGCTATCTGTTTTACCATAGTAAAATGTCAGCTGAAAAACAAGGAAAAGCATTTTATACTCAGCTCCCAATGTCAACACACACCAGAGGACTGTGCCCAATTCTGTTCTCTGTGCTAAGGTCCCATCAGAGCCCTTAGGAACCACAGGATGCATTAAGGAGCATGATGGCATAAAACCCACCTGGAGACTTTGTGTGGCAGATTCCTCTAACTCACTAAAGGAGACCTGGACAGGTCATGTGTACTAAGGCTGGAGTAGATATAGGACAGAAGGAGGTGAAGGTGGGTGAGACAGTTAAGTAGACAGAATCATTGCAACACTAGTGCCCACACACAACTGTTTTCATACAGCCCTTTGGTAGATACAGGGCTGTTCCGAAGACATAGGCACCTCTGGCTAGGATAACCTAAGTAGAGGACAGACACAGAGCTAGGGCAGACAGCTCCTTCCCTGAGTGCATTCTACCCTTTTTTAAGCCACACAGTAGCCCTGACCTGGGGCAGCTTCAGTACCACCTGCCTGCCACAGCTTCCCACCTCCTTCCCAGGGCTGCAGCCAATGTGCCTTTTCTGTGAACAACTGAAGGCTCCTGCAGACCAGGGTGATGCTCAGATTTAGTTCAGAAGCAGCACACAACAGATGTTTCCAAAGCCTGGGCCAAAGATGGTCACGGCAGTTTAAAGTTTCCCTCCTAAGTGAGTATTAATGAAAACTTCAGTTTATAATAAAACACAAATTCGCTTTTCTATGAAGTAAGTGGACATGTATCTCCTTATAGTTTAGGAGACTGACAGAACAGGGAACGCGGACCTTCTTGTTACTCCAGACACACCAGGTATCTGATAAAGGATAACAGAGCCCGGAGGCTCCCACACAAAGCAGAGTGGTGACATGTACAGTTGAGTTCCTTCTCTTGGCTACTCTAGAACACAGCTCACTTAGTGCCCCTCCCTGCCTACTCCCATTATGTTCACTGGCTCCTCGTCCCCCAACCTTCAACTTGAAATGGCCAAGCATCAACCTCAGACGGCTTCTTTCTTTATATTACAGACTTCCATGGGTGAACCCTACCCATGCTCACAGCTCCAACTATAGGCCTATCATGCCAAAACCAAAACTGAGCACAGCCTCCTCCTTTTAGGATTCATAGCATGCATCTGGGCATGATATGCCACAGGAGTCTCACACAAGTACCCACCACCTCCCACAACTTGGGGTTACTTCCCCATCCTCCCTCACACCACATCTAGACCAAAGTGCAACCAAAGTCTCAGATTCCTTCACCCATCTGCTAATCCCACCTGCATGAAGGGTCTTTGATTCTTCCTCCTGAATCCTTTTTTCCCCAACCCCACTGCATCCATCCTTCCAAAACCCTTAAAGAGACATGCCACCCAAAAATGCAACTGTTTCTCAATACTCTAATACTTTCTCCAAAGTTATCCCTCCAGTGGTATACTCACCACATTGTTAGAGATAACTGATACATTATGGGAATCTGAACCGGCTGTTGGCAGCTTCTATATGTTCTGATTGGTCTTTGGCTATATCTTGTGGTTGCCATATATTTGTAATATCCACTAGTTCAATATTTATCAGCCTTCCTAATGTCATGATCTTTTATACAGTCACTCATGTGTAGTGACCACAATCATAAAATTATTATTAATGTTACTTAGTAAGTGTAAATTTGCTGTTAAAAATCTTAGTATAACTATCTGTGTTTTCCACAGAGGCCACCTCTGTGAAGGGGTGCTTCAACCTGAAAATGCATCATGACACACAGGTTGATAATGGCTGCTCTTGATGCTGTCCTTTATTTATGACTTAATCAGTGTCCAAACCAACACATCATGCTACCCAGCCTCTCTTTCCCTAATGTGGGGCTTTTAACTTGGAGTCTACAGTACCACATAGATCCAAAGTTGAAGTATACCCTTGTTATTTAACCCTAATTATAATTCAATAGTTTGTTCAATTATAAATAGACAATAAGCCACCATATTAATAATACGTATATATTCAAATCATAGTAAACTTACTCTATATGACTAACATCTGAATTACATTGATTTCTACAAACTCACAGTAGCAACTATGGCTGTTATATCTTTTATTTAAGTTTTAATCATATTTGTGTATACACCTGTCTGTATGTGTATACACATGAATGCAGGTGCACTAGAGGCCTGAGGCATCAGACGCCCCTTCACCTGGAGTACAATGAATGTGAAATACTGATGTGGATGTATGAACTGAACTTGGGCTCTCTGCCAGAGCAGCGTTCATTGTTAAACACTGCACCATCTCTCCAGCACCTGCTACTACCTATTGTTCTTCAATGTGTCAATAAATATGCACAAAGAACTGTGTCACAAATTAATTTTTAATGTGTTTTGCTGACTGTTTCAATATAGTCTATACTCTATAAAAGCATCCTGACTGACCTGTCTATCAACCCACGTGTCCAGCACATATTCACTGATGGTTTACCAGACACAATGTATGACAAATGTGATATTCTAACTCTAAATGGGGAGCTATGAGAGCCACAATTGCAGCTGGAACACCTCCTGGAGATGAGAGTGGGAGCCAAAGTTTAAGAAAAAGTGGGATTGAGCCAAATGAAGAGACAGTTTTACTTCTGACATCACTGTCATGCTACACTCCTTTAGAAACGACTGTGGTGCCGTGTTTTCATATGGAAGGGGAAGCAATTATTTACTATTGGAGACTGTAAATCAATACAGCTGTCCATTAGTGGGCATACATTCTCCAGATCTTGCAAAGAAGACAGCTGGCTAAGACTTACAGAACTACATTGGTCAGTTTCCCTAAGGAATATTAAAACCTCTCTTTGTGTGAACAGTGGAGACCAATGGCAGAAAACCTGAATGTGGCAAAAGTCCAAGCCTGGAGAACATCCAGGAAGAAGGGTCCAGGAAGTAAGACATGATGTGCTAGAAAGATTATTTTAGACTAGTTTTCACATGGCTTCTTGGGTAGTGGTACAAAAATACTCTCTATATAACAGTTTTGAGTTGAATGAGATACAGTGAAAAGTGTTTGCATCAGATATGTGTCAGAAACATCACAGTGGGCGGTGTGAATAGGCAGGATTATTCTGCACACCTCTGCCTCGGTGGAAATGGACCAGGGCATCCTTGAATACAGCATCTGAGCAGAGGCATTTGCAGGCTCAGGAACTGGGCTTTCAGCTTTGACAAAAACAGCAGTTCTCAACCTTTCTCAACCTGTGGATCACCACACCTTTGCAGGTCAAAGAACCTTTCACAGAGGTTCCTAGGACCATCTGCAATACAGATATTTACATTACAGTTATGAAGTAGCAATGGAAATAATTTTAGGGTTGGGGGGGTCACCACAACATGAGAACTGTGAGTGGTCACAGCATTAGGAAGAACTGATCTCCCGAAGAGGAGTCCAGTTAACTTCCCTTGTTTTCCTGATGGGGACAAATTATATTAAGTCAGCTTTATCAAAATTAAGTTGCAACATATTTCCTCCTGTTTCATTACATAACATGAAGATGCCATCACTTCCTGTCACTCTGTGCTCACTCAGGAATGCTGAGGAACAGGGACAGCCCTATCTGAGTGGAGAGATGCTCTTTGGCTGCTAGAAGGTGATTCAGTGAACCGACTTAAGGAGTTACCGTGAGGCAGAAATAGAGTTGCACCCCAGCATGATGAACAGCACCAGACATGCCTTAAATTCTACCATGCATTTGATGTCATCTTAGAAACACTATTATCCCCTGGAGGTGGAAGGCTTTTTCCCAAGCCTATGCTAATATTAACATTCAAGGGTTGACCGTGTACCAGCACACTCCCAGTTTTCTCCCGAGAAGGTGTCAAAATTCCAGCCCTGCCACAGTGCATGAGCACACCTCTACCTGGGAATGACTACCATGGCACCTTCTTTGACCTCTTTCTCAGCACAATGTACAAACAGGATCTGGACTGAGTTGGATTTTGCAGCAGCTGGCTTCCCCAGGTGGTAGGACTGGCCTAACATGTCAGGCCCGGTCAGTCCAAAGTGTGAATTTTAGAAGCGTTTGCCAATCTTACTATAAAGCAGGACTTGAATTGCTTTTACAAACTTCCAACCTGGAGAACTAAATTGCAGTTTGGAAACAGACTGGCTGATTATAACTTAACTACAAATAAAGTGCTGTTCTCTGGTCATTTCATAACCTCAAGGTTGGAAGTATTGCACAGCCCTGGAGATTAGTGGGTCCTCCTTGCCCAATCTTTTTCAGCCAGCTAGGAACAGTTTATATTGATTCGAAATTTCTCTTTTGACAACTGGTGCTTAGGAAATATGATGATTACTAATATAAAGGTGATATGATGACATAAATATGATGACATAAAAATTATCTTAGATGTGTTTTAAATAGGTTTACTACAATATGTCTGAATATTTCAATGGAATCAATATATCAATGAAATATGTTATACTATATCCTGCCTGTGGTGAGGTTGAACTCAGGTCTTGTACAGTAACAGGCAAACTCTACCAAATCTACATCCTGAGTACCAAGTTAAAAAAAAAAAAGCCAAAATGCATTTACACTTATAGAACATCTCAATTCAAACTACCCACACATAGCACTTCTGGTGTGTGGGTGCTGACGTTTGACAGTGCAGCTGTGGGCCGTGGGCAAAGTTCAGCAGCAGGTCATGTCGCTTAGCACGTGCAAGGCCCTCAAAGCAACAGAAAAAAAACAAAGCAACAACAAAAAAACAAAAAACAGTGCAGATTGGAGCTGGAGAGATGGAGCAGAGGTTAAGAGCACTGGCTGCTCTCCCAGATGGCCCTGGTTCAATTCCCGACACCCATATATCTGTACCTCCATTTTCAGGGGATCCAACACCCTCACACAGACATACATGCAGGGCAAACATCAATGCACATAAAACAGATAAATACATTAAAATAACAGGGCAGATCTACCCTCTTCAGGATGACACAGGCACGATGAATGTCCCAGAAGTGTCACAGTTAGACACACATTAGAACATTGGGACATACGGTGGCTTTATAGCTTTGGAGATTGGCACTTCCAAATTGTATGAGTCTCCTGTTAGCAGTAACACATCTCCTGGTATCTCAGAAAGCTGTTCTTTATGTGAGAAGAAGACAGGAGTTCAGTAGGTCATAAGCAGTGTTAGCTCTTTTCCTCTGTTTTCATTTTTACATTTCTACATAACTCATTTATTCTACAGATGCTACTTAGACATCACAGATTAATACATTTTTTTAAAAAGGAAAGTGCTGTACGCAAAAAATATGTATTACACTCAGTGGTTTTTTTAAAAAAGCCATTTGGCCTATACGAAGGCAGAATAAAGTTAGGTGGAACAATCAAACTGAAGACAGGGATGAAGAAGGGCAGAGTTGGGAGAGACTTGAGGGAAATGCCCAAGAAACAAGATTCTAGAACACAGGCAAAGCCATGAGCTACATGACAATACATAGATTAACAGAAATGGGCTAATGTAAATGTAAGAGCTAGTCAGAAATAAGCCTGAACATTCTGTAATTAATATATTTTTTGTGTGTGTGTTTATGTGGGGCCAGGCAGTCAGAATAGAAAAGCTCCACTTCAGTCACCAGGGAATCACTGATTTTTTTTTTTTTTTTAAAGACAATTTAACAAAACAAGTGGCAGATTATACTTATGTAGCTGTAATCAGCTCTACTTACTCCATAAAACTTTCAAGCAAAACACAACTCCATGTGAATCTACATAGGCTTAATGTCTTCAGTTCTTGGCCAATTCTAACCTCATGTCCTCAGTAAGTGGTTACCTTAGGTAAATGTTCCCTTATGATTTCATCATCTCTCTTCCGCACCTGTACCATTTCTTGACTCCCGAGGTAAGCAGCATTAGCTTCATTAAAAAAATGAATGAACAGTTATACACATGGAATACACAGGAGAAATACAAATGTCAAATTAATTTCAGCAAATTCATATGATTCCTTTTCCTAGAGGCCAAGTGCTATTTGAAATTAGATACGGTGGATCCCAAAGACACAGTGAGCTCCCTAGCAGGCTTGCAAAGGCAAGGTGTTATTTACAGAGGACTATGTCTCAAGGGTTTAACCATCCCGCAGAGACATAGCCTACCCTGGCCACCAAGGCCCCAACATACCAATACATCCTAGGGGATAAGATCATGCCCAACACCCTTTGGGCAAGTGAAAGAGATCCACTGGTATTCTTAGTTACTGAATAACAGCCTGGAAATATCAACCAATAAAAGAAAATAATTATAAAATTTATTTTATAATTCCCTTTTCTCAGAATCTCTGCTTCACAGGCCAACATCCAGTGTCTTTAAAATGTTAATTTCACATATTTTTTTGTTTTTACACTTGCTTTTGGCAAGAGGGCAAATGAAGACCTTTTTCTTTTTTTTCACCTCAAAAATAGAGGAGCTATGTGAAGTTATTTACATTTGATATGAAAATCCACTTGGGATTTTCCCAGACGAGATACTGGAAACAAGCAATTTAAACACTTTGGCTGCTACGTTTACATTCTGAAGCCTTCATTAAGAGATTACACTTTGTCTCTTGAAGCATCTAGAAACATGACACAAACTCAGATTTCATGAGGAAGACTTTGTGGTTCTGTTCACATATTATATGCCGAAATCACTTTTACTAATGCTAGCCACTGTTTAGATATTTCTTAGCGACAAGGTTTTATTATCAAAATAATAAAACACAAGGCACACAGTCACACATTTAGTGCTACAGAAAGGCAGAATTCAAGTCACACATGTGGGAGCTTGGGAGGCCCCTCCATGGCTGCCATGCATTGGTTAGGCCTTCTCCCAGCCCACACAGTATTTCCAGGTAGCCTTCCTCCCGTCTTTACAGGCTGGAGTGTCATTAAGACGGAGGATATCGAATCAAAGCTCCTGTTCCCAGTAATCAATTTTGTAGGTCAGGGACAGAGATTCTATCCAACACAACCTTCCTATGCAAGCCACCCACCAAAGTCTCAAACCAGCTATTTACACTGTGGAAGCTCTGACAGAGCAACCCACCATCCTACCCTCCCCAACTTGAAATCTCTCCAAGGCTAGGTACCAGATAGGAGACCACCCAGAGACTTCAGAAATTATAACAGCCAATCCTAGATCTCCCCACCCAGTTGCCCAGCCTGTCTCAACTCATCCTTCCATGGAATCTGCAATACAGGCTATGGGGCACCTGACCCTTCTGCCTCCTGACCTAATAGGTGTGGTGTGGCATGTCCTCCACTACAGGGAGATGTAAGCAATAACCTCTCCTTCAAAGGCAACTGTTTGATGTCTATCATCTACCATATCCAACTGAAACAATTCTAACTGCATTCTGCACCAAGGAGACAGCACCAGGGAAGGTGATTGCAATGGCTTTGGTAGAGCAGAGCTGCAGAGAGGACAGAGATCCAAAAGGGGTCATCCTCGAGGGTTACCTGACCACTGACCAGCATTGTCATATGAAAAATAGAATTGAGAGAACAAAAAACTCCAGAAGGGGTTGTAGGAACAATCATTGATCTGGATACCATGATTGCTTCTGCCAGCCTGGGGAAGAGCCTCTTGATGAACAACACAGTAACTAGAGGATGCAGGGTGACCTTTGGAACACCAAGTCATGAGCCAGATGCTCAACTGTGGCTAGCTTAGCCATGCTACACTCAGCAATGGTCACTTTATACAGGAGAGCTGGGACATGGACAAATGGGTCTTCAGAATACGAGAGAAGCTGCCTATTCTCAGCATTAAGAGAGCATATGTAGAATGGAGAAGATTGCACCATAAAGCAAAAGGACTGACACCTGGATACATTTGAAAATTTCTAGAAATCAACAAGAAAGAGGCAGACGAACATACATCGAAATGGGTACACACTTGAAGAAAAAGCTCACAAATTGTGAAAATAATGTTTTCATTGAGAATAAACTCCAAGCTACTCTTTTATTTATTTTTTTCTTGCCATTTTCGATCTAAGTATACTTTTTTCTTTTCTTTTAAATGAGACCTCCCATTTCATCTCTAGTAACTGCTCTGAGGAAGCCATCCTTGTCATCCCTCAGCAATGGCCCCAATATAACACAGTGGTCGGAGGTGTAAATTCCTAAGTGGAAAACACACTGCTCTTGGCAATGACTGTCAACAGCATGCTTGGAAACTCAGCAAATTTCTGAGTTCCAGCACTGTTGAGAAGGAAATGTCTAGTACAAGGAGAATGGAAATGAAAACATTTCTTTACTTAGGCTTCATTAAAGCGTAAATAGAGGTGCACAATGGTTCACAAGGACTCGATGCTCCATTTCCTTTGCTACCACCACCTTCTGAAACATTCGAACTTCACGTATCACCATAGATGTCCGGGAGAGAGGCTGAAGTGTTCAGGGAAGCAGAGAGAGGGCTGATGGCCAAGGAGCGATAGGGCACTGACATCATAGCATAGTATTACTGGGTTTTCTAATTGCTCACAGTCTTCAACACAGGCTACCTTAAGTATAACCTGTAGCCTGTCCTGGATGCCATCCACATGGCCAGTCACAGTCACCTCTGTTCTGGAACTGACCTAGGTGTGATTTTCTCTAAGTACCACTCAAGTCGTGTATCTGTTTTTCGAACAGCAGACACTGCCACACACTAAAATTAACCACAGCTGTCTCTCCTGCTCCACTGTTAACTTACAGGCAGGGGCTGTGCTTTATCCTTTAGTCTATCATGTGTTTTGCTTACGACAGGTGTATAAAAAGAAGGATTAAGTGACGAGTGGGAAGGGGCTGAGGGAGATGGTACTGCTGGAGGGGTGGTCCAGGATCTGACATCGCTATGGAGGCCAAATTTGGAGGCACACTGACAGCTAAGCAGGTAGGCAAGAGGGATGAGTCAGCACAGGTAACAGGGGGTGTAAGTGTTTCTGTTGACATCTGCCATATACTTGTAACTCCCAGGGATGATGCAAGGGGAGTAAAAGCCATAATAATAAAAAAATGCAAGGTCCTAAAGAGATGCAAGAAAACCTTCTGAATAGTGTATTTACCATAGTGAAAGACATAAAAGGTGGTCCACAGTTTATGATTATTAAAACTACACATGTTAGACTGGACGATAATTTGAAGGGAAGTTAAAACTATTTAGAGAACCAGGAAACATAGATAAGAATATTTACCTTTAGAAAATAGATAAGGTCCTAGAGCCATATAATTACTCTTGAACTAATCTAGCACAGACAAACTCTTTCTGCTCTTTTTTTCCCTTGGGTTTTAAGCTCAGCTTCCTCCACTGCCTAGGCCCTCAGATGGGTTTAGGAACAGACTTTCACAGGCTCGCCTGAATGACAGAGTAGGTTACAAGCATATCTGGTTTCTTTATAGCAAAAAAATTATTCTGAAAAGAAATCTGTGATCTGTTGTGAAGCTTGCTATTAAACAGTTTAAAAAGTTATTTACACGTTTATTAAGAAGGAAGAAATATTATGACAGTTTCTTTCAAAAGAATTATTTGATAAATCTTCTAACCTGGCAGGGCTTCCTCAAGTCTTGGGCTATGATTCTCTCCTAAGGTAATGGAAAGGAATGAAGACATCAGGGAAGCCTAACAAAAAGACATTCATTTAAACACGTGACTGTGTCCTTGACATGGCTGAGCTAAAATATGTTTTCTTTTAGCTTTGATCAGGAAACCTACTTTAGCTGTCTTCATGGGAAGACCATGTTACATGAGATGGAAACGCATATGCTCCAGGGAACATATGTCGTAGCAAATTTCCAGAGTTGAAATGAAGGGGGGAAACCATGTATAGTCTTTACAAACACTTCAGACAATCTAGTTACAATCTCATTGCTCTGGTGGATGTAGAGGTAATGCTTATACTATGTGCTAACTGAGTTAGGGCCACTCTCTAGCTGGGAAGTGACATTTCTCTCATTCTAATGTCACAGAACTTTGCCTGCTAGAAGGGGGGTGGGGGAAATGATGACGGAGTAGAGGGTTTGGTGTACTGTCTTTGCCATGGTGTGGCGGCACCTGAAATGGTGGACTCTTTTGGTCTATGAAGGTTCAGAGCCTACAACAACAAACATGCACAAACTATAGGACACTGAAGGGTACCCTATCTAGACAGGACAGGGTTTATAATCTACACACTGACCAGCAAACTTCCTCCATTTGTTTCCTTTAGATTTCGCCTAGAGCACAGACATTAAGTGATACACAAACACTACAGGGTAGCCTGCAGGTCCAAGCAGCAAGTTAAAGGTCATCCTCTGAAGGGCAGTGAGACACGGAGCAGGTCAGCATGGGGAGGATGGAGCTAGACCGAAAGGAGTCCTGGGGTTGGCTTCTCACCTGATCATTTGCTAACTTTTCTTAAACCACACCACTGGGGTAGCTGCTATGAATACTGCCTACAGGGCCTGAGATGTGGCAGGGCCCACTAACTACCCTCAGTCAAGGCCATCTCTTAATGCATTGTCCTTTCAGGAAGTCACCAAAGGCATGACCAGGTGGCTGGACAGTGCTAGCTTCCATGGTGAGTGTTGGCAAAGGACTCAGTAGGTACCGAGAGCCAGGGAACAAAGGGATGAGCTGGTTGGGATGCTTGACATACTTGGTTAATGTTCTGCTCAGGGTTACAAGGGTAAACTGATCATCCAGGCAGAGTTGAGCCAAGGACTAGAAAGGATAAGAAGTCATTCTTACTTTCTCTGTAACACAAGTTGCACTGACTGGGAAATACTGAGACTAGTGAAGTACTGATCACTTGGGTGTTGTTAGTTCAGACCCAGAGCTGAGGAATCAGGAGACTAGAATTCGCAGGCACCAGCAACAAGAGGGCCATGAACACAAATACATCTGTTTGTGAGTTGGTCATTAAAAGAGATGACCAATGTACATTCTGGTTATAGGCTCTATTTTGAAGATATTGAGTCTACTATGGTTATGGGGGAAAGCTGTAACAATGTGACTGGAAGGTGCTGATTGTCCTTGATGACAAAGGGAATGCATACTATGGTTGAACTGTCTTGCAACCCAGGCTCCTGGAGCACCAATCGCTACAACTGCAAGGCAGGTTCCTTCCTTACTAGTGACTTAAGGGGGATGTTTCTACATGAAGATATTTATGACTCTTGTGTAGAAAAGTCTAAGAAATATCTTTACAGAAGCACTTGCTTAAACACAAACTTAAGTGATTGGGTAGGCAATATATATTCACTTAACACATAGCTGTCATTTAATTATTATACTTAGACTTTACATACATAACTGAAAAACAAACATTCATTATGTTCCACATCTTGATCTGACACCCTCTTCTGGTCACCAGTCAGCATGGTGCTGACATGGTGCACAGACGGATGTGTGGGCAAAACACCAACACATTAAAAAAAAAAATACTGAAGTCATTAATAATTCTATTGAATTATTACTATGCAAAAGTACAGATTAGCAAAACTAATCACCGGTATAATCTGAAAGTATGTATAGCCAGTACTATAATATATTAGCATGGTGATATTTACTGTCATAACTTAAACTCTTCTAAACTGACTTAAAGATGAGTGCCAAGGTGTAACCTGCCCACTCTCTGGGCCACTGTTGTAGACACTAAACTACAGTCACCTCTGGATTCCTGGCAGGACTGCACCCATGCTGTGACTTTGCTTGGCACATCTCCTCACTGTAGTCACAGTACAGAACCAGAAGGGATCACTGGCGCTCCCTGAGGTTTCTCATGCAAACTCCCTTCACTCAGTGTCCAGCTCTACTCTCACGTTAAGCTTGGGGTAGAAAAAGTCAGACATAACTATCTGTAAACATTCCCTAGACAACAGTAGACACACACCTTTTAAAAACATGCTTACCCAGGCAGAACGGTTGAAGAGCACTGTTCACAGGAATTTCACAGGTAAAGTTCAGTCTTTCAAGGGCTTTTGTGGCTATGAAGGACTTTATTATTTCAGGACAGGGCTTAAAGACTAAGTAGCTGGCAGCATAGAGCACATATCGAAACCAGCACAAAAGTGGAGTAGCAATCCTGCCGTTGGGCGTCTCAGACATCCGCTCAATAGTGGGAAACAGCAGGAAGGTGTGGATGACCTACAAGAAAGACAGATGCTTGGATGAGAGGTTCTCTTACACATGAACCCCCAGGATGGCTGTTCTTCCTACACTGTGCTGACTGTGACCAGGACTAGAACACCACTGGAGACGAGGTCAGACCAAACTAAACTAGTTTGGAGAGGACCTGAGCTCATTCCTGGGGGCATTGTGGCTAACTGCTGGAAGGAGGAGGAATGGTAGACACTTCCTAGATCATGATGGTAATTCACCATTCCCTTGAACGATTACTGAAGTAGGAACTACTACATAGACTTGACTTTGATGGTACCCAAGAGAGTAGCGCCACATGCAGGGCTCCATTGCTATCAGCATGGCTCTGTTGATTAGACTTCGACATAGTTCCCTTTTCAAAAGGTTCTTCAATTTCTAAGGACAGACAATGACACTCACCAACAGAACCGCATATGTTCCCAACAATGGGTTGTACCAGGTATATTGCAATGTGGGTTTCTCTTAACTTTATTGCAGTGTTGAAGGATAAAGGCATCAATATAGCTCAATAAGAAACAGAGAAATATATTTAAATACTGCTGCAGTGAATATGAGTGTTCCACAAACCATTTTAGGTCAATCAGTATTTACCACATGGTTATTAATGAACTATGTGAAAATGGTCTCTTTACGAGATCAGAAAAGCCAAGATAGGTATGTATAATCTATTAATAGGAATATAAATGGAATACCTCAATAATATTAAATTATCACAGAACAGAAAGTGAGAACAGAGGTTATTTTTATTTTATATGAATGCGTGTTTTCTTGCATGCATGGCTGTGCACCATGTATTTGTAGAAGCAGGAAGAGACTTGTGAATCCCTCTCCGACTAGAATTAGAGACAGTTGAAAGCCATTATGTGGGTGTTAGGGATCAAATTTAGATCCTCTTAAAAAGCAACAGGTACTCTTAACCACTGAGCTATCTCTCCAAACCCATCCCCTTAATTTTTCTTAAATACAGTTGAACATTTATTTAATGTGTATGCACATCCCTGCACATGCTTGAGCACATGTATGCCAGGGTGTACATGTAGAAATCATAGATAATTTATGGGAGTCAATTCATTCCTTCCAGTGTGAACTGAGGATGTCAGGCTGGGCACCAGTCCTGGCTTTATTCTTAAATATTTTGGTTCAACACAACACACACACAGTGAGGCTTGTCAAATATACACATGCCACACAGCAAGTCACTATAAACCAATCACGAGGCACGAGAAGATGCAGAGAGCAGAGCCTGCTTGTGAGTCTCCAGTCATGAGGCTTCATGTCAGCATCCATCACCCCACAATGGCAGTTGTTTCTGGCCTACATCAGTGCTCATGGTCCCTCACATCTGAGATCATCTTTGTTAACGAACTGTATGTCACACAGCGCACTTCAGTTTAACTGTTTACCAACCTCATGTTTACAAACCTCATCTCTGTTGTCTTCCTTCATCTTTGCTAATTTTCCACTATATGAATATACAAACAGTATTCATCTTACTGATAGATATTTGAGTTGTTTTCAATCTTTAGTCAGATCTTACTTTCTGATCCAGTGTTTTCTGTCTGAAGAAAGTAACACAGTTCATGCAGGGTGGGCACTGACGACCACTCTCTTCAGCTGTTCTCATCTCAAGGGTTGTTACTCTTTCTTTACCTCTGAAGGATGATCTCACAGGGTAGAGAATTCCAGATTAGTGTTTTTCTTTTCTTCTCCAGCACACTAACCATGGCACATCCTCTCTCTTCCTGTTAGTGTGGATTCTGAGAAGTTGGAAATGATTCCTGCCTTTGCTTCTCTGTAAGCAGAGATCCTGTTTTTTCTCCCTGTCTCTCATGATTTCTTTATTTCGTCTTCCTGTAGTTTATAAGCTCACACCTAACTGTAGCATGCTTTAGGGAGGTGTTAATCCAGTGTGGTGTCTTCTCAGGTCGCTGTGTCTCTTGTATGGTGTCTGACATGAACTTAGTCGTTATCCTTTACAGTCACTTTCTGTTTCTTTCTCTCCTGCAGTATTCCTGTTACCCTTGTCCCATCTTTTGTAGAATCCTATAGTCTTCTGAGATTAATTTTCCTGGTTCTCTTTGCTTTTTTGACTTTAGGGGTTTCTTTTGAGATGTCTTCAAGTTCAGAAATCCTTTACTCACCAAGATGAAGTTCCTCACACACTCAACACAGCCATCTTCATTTCTGTTACAGTAGTTTTGATGGCAAGTTTTGATGGCAGCATGCCCACACCTCATAGGAATCCCATATCACTTCATGTTGGCCACCTGTTCTATTGGAATTTTTCATGTGTTCATCACAGCTGCTCCAAAATCCTGGCCGTCTCATCTGCACGTCCACACATATATGAGTCTGTTGCTTACTCTACTTCTCAAGTTGTGCCTTTTGCTACTTAGTATATCTTGTAATATTTTTCTTGCTAGACAAAAATGCACTAGGGATAATTAGCTGCTCAAGTATGGTGTTAGAAACAAAGTGTTCTTCTGTACTTCAGAGTGAAATCTTTGTCTCTGCTTTTTGCCAAACATACAGGGGGATAATTTTACAATATCTACTGAGAACTGGGTTGAACTCTAGGGCGACAAATCTCAAAATTATATAGTTCCATCACGTCTGGAACCTCCTGGAACTTTTAAACTTCAGGGTTCTCTACTCTGAACCTTCAGTATGCAGGCTCTCCCTCCATTACACTATCTCCGTGTATTACACTATCAACGTGGACTCTGGTAAACTGTAACACTTTGTGTGACCCCATCTTTGCCTCTGACTGTTGGTGGCCATCAAGCCTGCTTGGCTTTACATGGGATCCAGGCATTTGAACTTGGTTGATGCATGCATGGCGAGTGTTTTGCCTGCTTTGCCAGACTCTTCTTTCTTTTAAATACCTGTTGTGTGAAGTTTTTTTTTTTCCCTGAAGAAATAGGAATCAACATCTGCTCACACATGTAGGGCGTCAATGACAGTAACAAAAGATTCTATCCAGTGAGTTTACCTGGAGTTATTCTGAGGACTGTCAGCATCTTATGGGTGTTATACAGAAAAATCTGTCTTTCCCAGCAATTCTTAATTGTTAATATTCATGGGGCTTTATGAGCCCCTTTTATGCCCAATGAGGGAAAATTAATGAACTCACTTCTGTACAAGTATCCTCCAGGAATTATAGCTGCACACTGTTTAACAGGGCAATGGCCAAATCATGCCTAAGGGACAGTGTGCCACAACAACAGTTATCCTGACATATCCTCAGGGACACAACTTTGTGCCTTTGATTTATATGTCCCTGGTGATCTGTGACGATGAACACATTTTCCGATATATACTGCCAATTATACATCTTTTTGAAGACCTATCTAATCAAGTTTTTACCATTTCTATATTGGGTTTGGTCTACTCTGTTTTAAAAAAATTTTTTTATATTATAATATTTAGTTATTGTGTCTGTGGGGGAGGCATGCATACACACAAAGTGCACACATGTCGGTTACAAAATGTGGGAGGGAGTCAGTTGTTTCCTTCCACTAACGGGGATCTAACTCAAGTAGTTAGACTGTGGGTAACAGCCTTTACTCAAGAAGCCAAGGTGCTCACCCATTCTTTTCTTTTCCAGTAACTGTTCTTTGTGTTTTGTTTTGTTTTTTTCTTTTTTTTTTTTTTTTTAAGAAATTCTTCTCTAATTGCTAATCAAGAATTTGTTTTCTCATTCAAATGTCTTATACTAAATTAGATATATTGGCCCTTATCTTCTCTACAATGCAGTCCCAAGCCTTTGGCTGTATTACATCACTTGTGGGGCCATCCTCTGATTTCAGATATAAACGAATGTTTGACCATTTCCTTCACGTACTTCTATGTCTCTTTCTGAGTGAATCCGATGAACTTTTCCCATGTGTGGCTTTCTGTCTCTTTTTTTATCTCCTGTGTGGGCAGTTCCTTTCTCATGGTTTGATGATATTGCCCAAATGACAAATTTGGTAAGGTGTCTGCTGGAATTCTCCCTTTGTGTTTCTCGATAATATGGAACAGGGATTTGAGAGTGAAAACTGAGGAGGGCTATTTCTTTCTAGTCAGACCTTGTTTTTTCTTGGTCCTATCATTCAGCTAAGTATTCAGCTATTTCCTGTAGACTTTTTCTTGCATAATAGTTGAGGTATTTTGTTTCCGTTTGGGTCACAATAATTTGAGCTTCTCTGGGTTTCCTCCTTTGTCCAGTAAGAAAGTATTGTTCCTGGAGTCCCTGCACAGCCTATGATGAGTAAAAATTCCTTTGGGGGGAGGAGCTTTTTCACACAACTTGAACTTGGTAGCAGTGCATTGCAAATGCCACAAGATGCTTCTTAGACAAAATGCAGCTTTTCAGCCACAATATAAAGAGAGATTCTGATCTCAACCAGAAAGAATGTTTTGTACACTTTCTAATCCTGTACAATAGATATCTGTCATGTTACTTCAACACTAAAAAAGCATGCTATAGGAATCTGGGGGTAAAACTAAGAAAAATCTTTGAGGAATCAGAGTTGTATCTTATTAACCAATGACTTTCCACCTCCCAATTCAGAGTTCTATCTTTTAGGTAATCCTAATGGCACGAGTAACTGTCATTCCAGAAAGCGATAGAGATGCCATGTTAGACTTAAGGAGACTTAACTGATTCCAAATGTGTGCATCTGTGCTAAGTAGCAACTCACATTGAGACATGTAGGGCTTCTTCTATGTCCTGTTGAAGTTTCCCAGGTGAAGAGTGTCCTCCCTTCCCCATCTTGCAAGAACAGCTCCCCTCCGGACCAAGGAGCAGGCTGCTTGGTAGCAGCTGAGGGAGTAATAGAAAGATGTAGAAACCAAAGTCTCAGTGTTGCTGATAATGTGGTCAAGAAGCCAGGCTGGCCACAGTTATGGCCACTAGGATCTTCTTAGACAGTCAGTATTCTTCAGTAATATTTGGGTAGACTTTGGTATGCTGGTAAGACTGGTCTGTCACTTTCTTTTCT